ATCTGTTTAAAATATGTAGCACATGCATTATCTAACCAAACATTATCATAGATAATAAAAACACATAATTAACATAAGTGACATAGTAGCAACATAAGAAACATATTACATAAGTCCTAACAATATACAACCACATAGTTTTTGAAACTTAAACATAATAACATAATTGTTTTGTTAATTAACATAAAAAAACATCTTAAGGTGCTGGAGGAGGTTGTTGTCCTTGAAAATACGTATTAAGCTTTGTGTCCAAGTCTTCAAACTTCTTGATTAGCTCTTCTTGATTACTAATGATGTATGAATTCTGTGCATATAGAGCTCTTTGACCAGTTTCAAGTTTAAGGATACGTGCACTCAAAGTGTTGTATTGCACGTCTGAAAAGCAAGATGGTTCTGTAGGAAATGGTGGTGGTTGACTTGAAGAGGCTCCTGCTTGAGTTGAGGATTGTGGGATTTCTTCTTGATGAGGTTCAGGAGGTTCAGGTTCATTTTGAGGATTTTGTTCTTGAATTTCAAAGTTTGTCAATTTCATCCTAGTTAGGGCATTTGAATCAAAAAATTCAATTGAACGGACAACAGAATTTTCAGATTGGAGATCGACATGGAATTTATCAAAGATTTTAGTTAGGAATGCACCATAAGGAAGAAATCCTCTTGGAATAGTCAGAAGATTGTCAAAGTAAACCTCAGCCCAATTGACTTGAATATTTCCCATTATAGCATATAGAGCTTTTTCTAATTCTAGGGAAATGAAATGAAAACTTCCAGTTTTTAGAAACAAGTTATGGGCTAGGATTCGAGCAATGAACCTAGGAATTGGACGAAGTTTGTTTAAGTTATTTAAAGGTTTGCCATGTCCAGGAAGAAATATATGATTAGATAACAGATCTGAATCATTCATCCTAACAGAATTAAGAGAAACTCCTTGATAAGGAATATTGAATATTTTACCAATTGACTTTGTAGTTAAGTCAATCTCTATTCCTTTAACAAGAGTTTTGATTTTTTCAGAACCACCAATAGTTCCCACACGTTCTATATTAGTATAGAACAGTTGCACAAGAAAAGGATATGTGGGTTTTTTATTTTCAGCAGAGAACAGTTCAAGCAATCCCAATTTTCAAAATATGAACTAAAATTCCAGGTTATAAAATCATTAAATTTCACAAATCGTCTTGGAAGAACTTCAAAAGATGATAATTTGTTAAATTCTTCTAATAAATCAGGACTTTTTAAATAGATGATGATTTCATCATTGATAGAGGTATGGGTTTGCTTAGCTTTCTTAGATCTAGACATGATGAAATAGATAAATAACCAAAAATTCAAAGATCAAGTTTAGAAATATACCCCAAACTGTTTGAAACCCTAGATTAGTCGACTATAGCTTGGATTAGTCGACTACTGAGCTTGAATGCTTGACAGATATGAAAGATTTGAAGAAACTGATGGAGAAAAGGATTGATGTAGTTGAAAAAGAATGGTTGAGATGAATTTTACTTAAGTGAAACGGGTATGGGTATTGGGTTTTGGGTTTAAATCAAAAAAATCCACTTGGCTTAAAACTGTAAAACTGAAAGTTTAGAATCAGTAGTTGACTAATAGTGAGGGTAGTCGACTACACTGTGAACGTCAGAAAGATAAGTTTTAGTTTTTAACTCAGAGTAGTCGACTAATCTGTATTGTAGTCGACTACACTGTAAACAACAGAAAGTGTATTTTAAGATTTTACATTGAGTAGTTGACTATAAAGTTAAGTAGTCGACTATACTGTAATTTTTCAAAAAAAATTGTTTGTGAGACTTGTGCATGTAGTCGACTATAAGTCACATTAGTCGACTATTTAGGGTATAAATTTATATATGTTTGTTTTAAAAATTAATTTAAATCTTCAAATTCCCTTCTTAATTTAACATAAATTTCTTCTTTTAGGGGTTTTGTTAATATATCTGCTATTTGTTTATCTGTAGGTATAAATTCTAATGAAATGTCACCTTTAAGCACATGATCACGTAAAAAATGATGTCTAATATCAATGTGTTTTGTACGTGAGTGTTGAATAGGATTTTTAGATAAATTAATTGCACTAGAATTATCACACATAATAGATGATAGAGGACAATTTATGCCATAATCAGTTAAAGTTTGTTTCATCCATAATATTTGTGTACATGCAATACTTGCAGCAATATATTCAGCTTCAGTTGTTGATAATGATACTGAATTTTGTTTCTTACTAAACCAAGATACAAGTGAATGTCCTAAGAAATGACATGTTCCACTTGTACTTTTTCTATCAGATTTACATCCGGCAAAATCAGCATCACTATATGATATTAAATCAAAAGAACTATGTTTTGGATAAAATAAACCATAATTTGTAGTATCTTTAATATATCTAAATATTCTTTTTACTGCTTTAAGATGTGAAACTTTAGGATTTGATTGAAATCTTGCACATAAACATACACTAAACATAATATCAGGTCTACTAGCAGTAATGTAAAGAAGTGATCCAATCATACCTCGATAGAGCTTTTGATCAACATTCTTACCATTTTCATCTTTGTCAAGAGATGTCGTAGTGCTCATAGGTGTTGGTTTGCTTGTTGAATTTTCCAATCCGAATCTTTTAAGTAAATCTTTTGCGTACTTGCTTTGATTGATGAAAATTCCTTCTTTCAATTGTTTAATTTGAAGTCCAAGAAAGAAATTTAGTTCACCCATGTGACTCATTTCAAATTCATCCTGCATAGTCTTAGCAAATTCTTGACAAAGATTGTTGTTAGTAGAACCAAAAATAATATCATCTACATATATTTGAATTAGTAAAATATCTTTATTTATTTTCTTAATAAATAATGTTGAATCAACTTTTCCAATTTCAAAACCTGAAGTTAAAAGCGAATCTTTTAAGTAAATCTTTTGCGTACTTGCTTTGATTGATGAAAATTCCTTCTTTCAATTGTTTAATTTGAAGTCCAAGAAAGAAATTTAGTTCACCCATGTGACTCATTTCAAATTCATCCTGCATATTCTTAGCAAATTCTTGACAAAGATTATTGTTAGTAGAACCAAAAATAATATCATCTACATATATTTGAATTAGTAAAATATCTTTATTTATTTTCTTAATAAACAATGTTGAATCAACTTTTCCAATATCAAAACCTGAAGTTAAAAGAAATTTCTTTAATCTATCATACCAAGCAAGAGGTGCTTGTTTAAGACCATATAATGCTTTCTTAAGTTTAAAAACATGATTTGGAAAACTTTCATGTTCAAAACCTGGAGGTTGTTCTACAAAAACTTATTCTTTTATAAAACCATTTAAAAAAGCACTTTTAACATCCATTTGAAATAATTTAAAATTCATAAAACATGCAAATGCAAGTAAAATCCTAATTGATTCTAATCGTGCAACTGGTGCATAAGTTTCATCATAATCAATTCCTTCTTCTTGATTATAACCTTGAGCAACTAATCTAGCTTTGTTTCTAACAACTTGACCAAATTCATCTAATTTGTTTCTAAAAATCCATTTTGTTCCAATAATGGATTTATTTTGAGGTCTAGGTATAAGATCCCAAACATTATTTCTAGTAAATTGATTAAGTTCATCTTGCATAGCAATTATCCATGAATCATCAAGAAGTGCTTCTTTTATATTTTTAGGTTCAATAGTTGAAATAAAAGCATTATGAGCAATCAAATTAAAATGAGATCTAGTAGTTACTTTGTCAGAAATATTTCCTATAACTAAATCATGTGGATGATTTTTAACTTCTACAAAATCTTTAGGTAAATCATTTTGTAGATTATCATCTTTTGTAATATCTATCATAGGAGTATCATGTATAGTATCAATTACATCATCATCATTATTTAGTATAATAGGTGTTTTTGAAAAATTTTTATCAAAAAAAACATGTAAAGATTCTTCAATAACTAGTGTTCTTTTGTTATATATTCTATATGCTTTACTATGATTA